TAAGGAAAGCCCATCACTGCTGCTGGACTAGAAGAAGGACTAGTAATGTCACCAGAAGACCGCTGGAATTAGGGAATTTTTCTTTTAATGGCGGGGGAACTGGGGATGGGCTTTAATGCAGTTTGTCATATGACAGGGATATAATGTGTTTTTATTTCCAGACAAGAGCATACTTTTCAATGTTTCTTAAGGCGAACCTCCTCATCAGTGGTCATTCATCATATTCAGTGAACTTATGAGTCTGACTTGGTTTGAGCCTTTTGCATTCCATCATATGTCTGTTCTGGGCGGGGGAAGGTAAGGACAGGGAGCCAATCAGGTGTGCTGTATGCAAATATATTGACATAGAAAATGCTGCTAGGAGGAGAGCAGAGTGAACAGAAGGGTGATTTTATCAGTCTCCTGCTGCTCGCTCCCTGTCCATTCACAGGTTGGGGGGTGGAGAGAGGATTCCACTGTATTCCTCAACTTTAAAGTTCTCATTTAGGTCTCGGGTACCTGTGTGAAGGACTTTTACTTACCTGATCCCCGCTCCTGCAGGCTCTGAGACTGGCGCCCACAGCTTCTTCCCCTCTACGACCTGGCGGTTGGAGGCCTGCTGACATCATCATGTCTGATGCAGGGCCCATAGCCCTGCAATATACGCGAAGACGCCGAGGGACAGTCCAAAACTCAGAGCTTAGGAGGGAATCAGGGATCTGATAAGTACAACTGCTTTACCCCGGTACCATAGAAAGGAACAGTGAACCCTTGCAGTGCGTGGAAGGCCCCACTACAAGGGGAGTGTTTTTTTAAATGGAGAAGGCTTTAGGTAGTGTCATCCACCTGGCTGGGCTGTGAGGCAGAACAGTGTAAATCTCAGGCCCGGATGGACAGAAATACAAATGCTTTGGCAGGTAAAACAGACTCTGTATATGTATTTCACCGTTGCATTTAGCTGTTTCCTGGATTCGGCTTTAATTCAGTACAATATCCCTGTGCACCTTTACAGTTTGTTGCTTTTACAATATTGACGTTGCTTCTAAGGCAGAGCAACCTCGAGCCCTGCGTGTACCACAGGCAGAAAGAAATGGGGAAGTATTTTATGCTGCTTCAGCGTCGACTTGGTGTCATCATCACGCTTTCAATATTAAACACGCAGGATGAGGAAGTGAAGGGGCAACATTACCTCTTACGTTCACATTTCCGAGGTGTAGCAGTCACAGAGCTCAGCATTGCATGCCTCTTGAGGGCCGGGCACAATAAGGACCAGCAGCAAAGGCCTCTGGGTAACACGGAGAGTCCTGAGCAGGTGAGTTTATAAGAACTGTCTTCATGTAGTCTTATACAGATGAGTAATGATCTGATGATGGCTATGAGCAGACATCTTTTTTTTTAAAGTGTATATAATCCCTGACAATGTACTTCTCTTATCTGCTCCTTTTTAATCTGTCGAATATACAAAGGAAAGCTTTTTGCTACATTAAGGTTACCATTAGTTTGAGAGGTCTGTGCCTGGGAAACAAACGTCCCCTGCGGCAGTGAAATGCAGCCATATACAGCCAGTTTTGTACTTGCCGTGATAGCTGCCTCTAGGACTCTGCGTCACTTACTACTGACCCCTGAACTCTGCATCACTTACTACTGACCTCTGAATCCCAGGTCACTACTGACACCTGAACCCTGTATCACTTACTACTAACCCTTGAATACCCATGTCACTTACTACTGACCACTGAACCCTGCATCACTTACTACTGACCCCTAAACTCTGCATCACTTACTACTGACCCCTGAACCATGCTTTATTTACTACCGACCCTTGAACCCTGCGTTACTTACAACTGACCTCTGAACTCTGCATCACTTACCCCGAAGGTAAGACCTAACGCTATCTTCAGGGATTTCTGTAATATAAGACCTACCCCGAACTAGGTCTTATTTTCGGGGTAGGTCTTATATTACAGAAATCCCCGAAGATAGCGCTAGGTCTTATTTTCAGTGTAGGTCTTACTTTCGGGGAAACACGGTAACCCCTGAACTATGCTTTATTTACTACTGAGCTCTGAACTCTTCATTACTTGCTACTTCCCCCTACTTGTGACCCCTGTACTCCATGTGTTACCTACTGATGTCCCCTGTACTCCATGCGTTACCTATTGCTGACACCTGTACTCCATGCATTACCTTCTCATGACCCCTGTACTGTATGCGTTTCTTGCACCTGACTTGTTTATTCCATGTGTTACCTACTCCTGACCCTGCACTACACATGCTTGACCCATAGAAGAGTAGGCTCAGGGTTTATTTAACCATGCATCTTCAGCCACTCCCATTGTTAGCGCAAATTGACTGCAAACATGATTCACTCCTTATAGTGCCTTGGGCACTTTGTCTTTAGATTTTTAATGTCTCCAGAAATCTGTGACCGATTGCTTTAGGGCATGCTAAAAAGAAGGGGGTGTATACAAATGGGGGTGTGGTTTTATGGGTGTGATTACAAGTGGGTGTGGTCAGTAGGTTGTCCCCAGATTTCATTCTGGTAACCTTATTTCTGTTCAATAGGTGCAAAAAAAAACCCCCCAATATTCTGACAGAAATCCAGTGTTGTCCTGTGCAGTCCTATCTTAAACAATTTTATATGAATTTTATCAGGAAGTGTCTTAGGATGGAGAATATGAGAGGTGCTGTGTAGTCCTCCTAACACACTTCCTGGCCTAGGATGACAATGCTGTTCCTCAATAGACACAGTACATTGAGCAAGCCTTGTCACCCTAGGACAGGAAGTGTGTTATTGGCAGATTCACCAGGTGAGAATAAAGGGAAAACAATAATGCAGCCACCACATTAAAGGACTGCTAAGCTGAAACCTTTGGCCTTTTGGCCTGGTCTCAGCACTGCTTGAGTTGCATGAAATATATGCATATAAAGTACAGAGAGACCACTTTATTGATAAGCATCCTAAACAAAATCATCTATGGCAAATCTTCTAGTTTGTTCAATCATCTGTAACCATTATTTCAGTTTTTATCAGAACCACATGTTTGCCCGGCATAAATCCTACCGAGAAAGTTCTTACTGGCCACTTACACATTCTCACTGGATAGAAAAACAGAAGCTAGCCCTTTATTCAGCAAAGGTAAACTAGTTTCAGAGGGGTGCACTGCAGAGCTGAGCGCAGGCATCATTTAGTGTCCTGTGCTCTCGAGATGGATTTTGAAAGGTTTGAAATGACTGACAAGTTTGCTTTAAAGCCGAACTACAGACCGTTATAAAGAATAAGACATCATAAGACATCCATGCAGCTCTGTGTTGAATAAAACATCAACATTTTTTTTTAATGTAAAGAGTATAAGCATGTGAATTAAATTTGATGTTTTCTGCAGTTCCTGTAAAACAGAGCTTAAACTGGAAGAGGGAGAAGAAGCACAAGGAGTCAGTCTATCGTGCTGTCATGGTCATGTGCTAACAAGAAACAAGCTGATAGGAGGAGAGAGCAGAATGACAGACAGATAAGCTCATTAGTCACTGCTGCTCCTCCTTTTTATTATCCAATCAGAGGCTGCGGGAGGGACAAGACCTGTTCATGTCACATAACTACTGCAGAGAAAAAGCAGGTATTTTTACCTGCCATATCAAAATTGGCCACAAGATGGAGCTGAAGAGAAAACATTTCTGTTAATAGCGGCTTAGATTTTTTCCCCTTTAATAACACTCCCAACATTCCTCTGCCCAAAGAGAAGAAAACAAGAACAATTTGGTAGCAGGGCCTCCATTTTAGGACTGAGGAAAGAGGAATTCACTGCCATCCGCAGCACGTCTGGAGGAGAGAGCCCAAATCTCTCTTAGGCAGCATCGCTGGCATGGATGAACTTGTTTCTTCCCATATACTGTATGTGAGACGACACTATGTTTACATGTTTCATATATTGATTGTATGTTTCCATGTTCTTTTTTACTAGTTTCACCCCACCCTTTTGTTTTTGTTAATTAAGCATCAAGATTTCACTCTGCACTGGATTATTGCAGAATAGGAGGGTTTAGCTGCATGTCGTGCTATACACAGGCCACAGGGTAACGTATAGCAGGGACATTACCGAATCCATTCACTTTGTGAATACTATTTCTTTTTGTGATGTTTCCTTATGTTTTTAGATCCTTGGTTCTCTCTCTGGTGGGTTATGACCCAAAAGTGGGTCGTGGCCCTGTGTTCAGTGGGTCGCCACATGCCTTCCACTTTTCTAGGTCGGAGGTTTTCTCAACCTCCTCCTAGCGCAGCACTGTCAGTTCTCCTGCCGAGAAGCCATTCAAAATATGCTGCCCAATGCTGAGTGTCAGCTTGAGGTGGGATGGGGCTATGTCAGCGAGGGAGCTCTATCCATATGTGGATTGCTTACAGCTCTCTCCTGTGTCCTGTAGAGGTGCCTGGATCGAAGTGATGTCCCATTCTGGCCCCTGGCACCTCTACAGGGTGTGCAAGGGAGCTGTACAAGCAATGCATATATGGATGGAGCTCCATCACAGCACTGGCTGAGGATCCACTCCAGTTCTCGTAAGGTAGGGAGACTGGGTGGATCTAAAAATAAAAATTTTTTGGAGTGTGTATGTGTGTGAAATTGTGTCTGTGGTTGTGTGTGTCTGTCAGTGTTTTTGAGGGCCCATTCACACTAGTAGAGTGCATTAATCGCACAGTCCCGTGTGATTAACACATTGTACCACGCAATCGCACCTACCGCACGTTCTGGTGTGGAAGGTGCATGGAATTGCCATTCATTTAAATGACACACCAAACACATCTCCCACCCACAGTTCTATTGCCCACATCAGAACTCGCGGTACCACAATGCCGTGCGTTCCATTGTATAGCTACTTGGGTCACAGGTAAATGACAAAGGACAAATGTGGGTCCTGAGGTTACACAGGTTGAGAACCACTGCTTGAGAGTATCAGGAATAACTGTGATGCTGTGTCACAAATGTACTTGTTTATGGGTTTTGATTTTTATTTCTCCTGCAGAGCAAATGGAACTGTTGGCAGAGTCTGGCGATTCGCAAATGATATTTAACATAGAAACTCAAGGTAATGTTGAGTCATCTTATTGTTACAATGCTCTTAAACTTCAGAAGCTGAAAAAGACACTCCTCTTCTTTTACACTCTCTCACTTTTTACACACCTGAAAAAAATGTGAATTAAAGTTTAAGTGCATTTCCAATGTACCTATCCTTGGTTCCTCCAGTAGTTCTATAAGAGCAAATTGGGTCCTCCTTGGGGTATGTGCACCATAAGTACTCCTCTGCATTGAACACATGTATTGCATTGCAGGCATCTGGCTGTGCATGCATGTTCCTTCAGCTGTCTTTAAATGAACTTGGGACCCCCAAAATGTACAGCAATGCAATCTACAATTTAGGACACTTGCTGGTGTCAGCCGTCTGTCTGTACTTTCATGCACCTTTCCTTTGGCCCATTGCTATGACAGGCTACCTCACTGGTCAATAGGAAGGTGGCAAAGGGTACAGGTGAGCCTTTAACGCTACGAGAAACTGTTGAAGATCACAGATTACGTTTCAATGGTCCCTGGGCTAATTTAAGGAGGGCTGAAGGTACCTGCAAGCACCTCCAAGTGACAGGGATACTTTACCAAGGGGAATAGAAATTATTGTATGTATCATCTGCTGTTTTTTGTTGATAAGGACTTATAACCTGTTTGCAGGTGAATCCAGGAAGTTCCTTCAGCCCAGTGCGGATAATGACCCTAAACTTCAAGAACTGAAGATGGTATGTTCTACAGGGGTTAATCTTGACAAAAAAAAGCTTCACTGGGTGCACAAAAAGGGGTGGCAGCTAAAAGTCTTGCCACTCAATTGACCACCTTAGCAAAAAGAGCATTGTTTTGGGGAGTTTTGAAAACAATTGTTAACTATATGTAGAGCCTGGTGGGCTAGGTCAGCCCCTGGCTTCTTGTATCTCTTGAGCATTTCAATCATGAGATCTCCCTGCCATAATTCCTGACTCTGTTCCTACAATCTCACATTTAATTTTCTAATTTGTATTGAGATTGTAGTCCATCACAGGAGTGAGCTTGGAGAGGTGACTACTTTACAACACACACAGGAACCATGGGGAACAAAAGTAGTCACCCTCCAGAAGGAAGGACAGTGTCCGCACCAATTCAGAAAGGATTTAAAGTGACGTTAAAGGCTGCTAATGTAAGGACTTACCTAAAATGATGCCTCTTAATCCGATCATCTTCTTCTTTCCTGTAGTTTTTAGCTGTCCCTCCAGCACTGGTGCTGGTCTCCGATCCAGCGCTGATTCCTCTGTCTTAACTGGCACTTCCTGTCCCACGGAGCCTGTGCGGGTGCACGCTGCTGCATTCACTTACCTTGTGTCTCTCCTCGTCTCCCGGCCAAAGATCTGAAATGCGCATGCGCCCGCCCCAAGGTCCTTTGCGGCCGCCGAGAATTTTCAGATGTTCGGACGGGAGCGCGCGGCAAAGACACAGGTAAGTATTAATTCTTTGAAAAAGTTTTCTTTTTAATCGTTTTGCATATATCTATTGCTTGCTATCAGCAGATATATGCAAAAACCGCTGGGGGTTTAATAACCCTTTAAAGGAGAACTATGGGGTCAGGGCTTTTCCCCATAGTTCTCCTTAGGGTAACGGGAGGACACAAACTAGCGTCCTCCCGTCACCCAAAGCTCAGTATACCGTGAGCTGCAGCTCGCGGTATACTGTGACGCCGCAGCTGAAACAGATCCCGACAATTATGTGACAGCTGGCTTTGCTTATCTAGAGGCAGAGTCAGCTGTACCCGCCCCCCTCCCCCGTCCGTTCCGCCAGTCAGCGCTGGAGGATGGGAGGGGGGAATCCAGCCCCTCCCCTGTCACGGCTGCCCAGTCCTGCCCATAATTCTGCCCATTGCCGTTGTTAATGTCTCAAAGCATCATGGGAGTTGTGCTGAGTAGGAAAAAAATATGATGTTGGCTGTCTCAATGTTCCTCCTCCCAGGAGCCTATTATAGGTATACTGTGATACTAATAATGAAGACCACATTAAAAGATCTTTGTTACAGAAAGTTATTCTTTACTGTGTATGTCCCACTAGGGGGACATTTCCCTTCACTTCCTGTCCTGCAGATGCAAATGAGCAGAAATCTCCCCAAAGTAGGGGGGAATTTCAATCTTGATGGCTCCCTCACCTTTTGCTTCAGAAGGAGGGGGTGATTCTTTGGTTCTAACCTTTCCCCACTCTATTGAAATACAAAAATAAAGTTTGCCCTTTACGTTCACTTTCAGATGGCCCACAACTTCTAAAACTCTGAAAATTCTAATACGCGTGTTTAACGCGGCCATGTTCGATATAAATAGCTTGGCGGACTTCTTTAAAATAACATTGCATGCAATTACCATTCGCCCCTGATTACAAGAGAGGGCCGTAAAAAGAATCCCATTTGCCTGGTTATTAGTTGGATAAGAAGAGAAGAAGTCACAAGTGACGGGCTAATTTGCAAGTTATTACCCAGAATTCCATGGTGCCATTTAATCAGCCTGTGATGGGGAGCCTGGGACAATGGAGATTGGTAGGAAACGAATGGAAATGTATTCATAACAATTTATCTGGCCTATTATTAAAAAGTTATCAACCTGTTATCCTTCAACAAAGGGCTTGCTATGAAAAAAGGAGGCTTTTGTCATGTGGAATGCAGATTTCACTCGGGATGTGTCAGCTAAGTGGGTTTTGTTATGTTTCAGATTAAGACTGAAATCCTAAAGGAGCACTCCAGTCAGGAAATAAATTGCCAGTAAACTTGCATAACATCCAATTATTAGAAGGGCAGATGAAAAGGAACTGAAAGCAAAAAGCTTTTTTAAAAGTTATTGTACTGTCCCCAGAACTTAAAGAGAACTGGTCATGGTTAGGATGATGTTAGTGTAGCGCTCACCCCTAAGGAGCCGCTGGAATAACCGGGTCATCACTAGTCTGTCTAGGGGATTTGGTCTTCAGCCGCCCCATTAGCATTATCCGCCCTCTTCTAGTGCCCACAAAACCGATTTCCACTCCAGTAATACAATGCTGAAAAACTTTTATTAACATCTTCATACTGAGTAGAGAGGGTATAGGGATCCTAGACATCCAGGGTGTAACAGACATAGACTCCAGACTTAACAGACCTTTTTAGCATCTCAGTGTAGATCCATTTGTAGTACAGTGAATAGTAATTGGAGTTACAGATGAGCAGGGGTGAGCACAGATCCTCAGCAGGAGAGACACCAGCCATGCTCCTGAGGTTCTCTAGATTCTGAGTACCTTCAGTAGCCATCCACTTTCCTGTTTCTCCTCCTCTGGCAACAGCACAGGCCCCCTCCATACTGGATGCCCAGGGAAACACTTCCCACACTCCAGCCTCTGCCCACCCCCAGGCCCCAGGCCTAGCCTGGTGGGTGGCTGGACAGCACCCAGTCCTGTGCTAATCCATGGCTGGTCCCGACTAGTCTGACCACATGGCAAATCCCTCCAGTATATGCACCCTATCCCAGCATGCACCACTGGTTGAAAGAAACCCAGTGATTGGCTGCTGTCCTGTACATACACTCACAGTGCCTCTCATTGGCTGTCCCACTATACAGCAGAGTCACATTCCACCCAGGGGGGTACAGCCAGTGCCAGACACCTCGAACTAACCAGATAAATGCCACTATAATCCAGCCAGGCTGACTACAGCCCTGGCAATCACTAAATGTCTAGCAGCCACATCACAAAAGGGGGCTATATTGTGCATGTTGTAAGGTATACACTGCAGAGCTCCCTGAAAGCCCTAAAATTTAACAGTTGTCAAGTTTGCAAATCTAAAGTTCATCCCTAAAGTCATACCTCTATCCTTCATCCTTCCCCTTATCACATGTACCGGTACTGTAGAAAATCACAAGGTAAGAGGCTGCAGCAGGGGCTGATCTGTGTCATCACTGAGCATCTCAATCTAGGCAGTAGATGGTGACCCTGGTAATTACACTGATGCACCCTGATATACAGATGACCATGAGAAGGAGTAATTACAAATGTGCACCTGAAATACAAAGATATAGAAGTGATTTTAAACAATAATTTCCAGGTAAATAACAAACATGTACTAAGAACTTAGTAGAGGCTGTAGACAATCTATTTTGTAGAGTAGGTTCGATTGTTTCTTTTTTTTTTTTTCTGTTTTCTTCCAGTTTCTTATTGACTGGATCAATGATGAGTTAAAGCAGGAACACATCATAGTACAGAGCTTAGAGGAAGATCTCTTCGATGGGTTAATTCTTCATCACCTTTTACGTAAGAATTTCTTACACCGTCTTCTAATCTGCCGGAGATCAGGAGCTCAAGCTGTTGGTATAGATTGGCTGATGGATTTGGCTGAGATTCACATCTCCGACGTGTTTACCATCTCAAGTTTAAACTCGGCTGTGTGTAAAATGCATGCCTATTTTCTTCCCCCGGACTGAAGCAAGATCTCAAAGAAAAGAAGAGGAATTTCATTTTATTTTTACCTTCTTCTCGGTGCTCGGAAAATGGAGATGAGTGTTTGAATGTCATCCTTTTGTGATGGTTGGAAAACATATCTATGTGTCTATGAGGATAGCTGTCCCCTACTTAATTAGATGTAAGCCCCAAATGAATGACATTTCGTTTTCTAAAGCACTCTGCAAATAATTGACATTTTGATATTTAAATAAAATACTACTTGATAGAAAAATGTAAGACGTAGTATTTTATTTAGGAATAAAAAACGGTAATTGTTTGCAAAGTGCTTTAGCAAACTAAATGTCATTCACTTGGGGTTTACCACTACTTTAAGCAGGGGTCAGCTAGCCTCATAGATACAGATATGTTTTCCAACCATGACAAAACCATCAAACACTCCAACTCCCTCTTTGCAGCCACTTCCAGTCTACATGCACTCCAGAGATTCATTCATGTCATTTGTCAGGGTGAGTTTTCTAATGGTGACAGTAGGGGGCTATGCTTGTGTTAAGTGTGTTAAAATGGCCACTTGCAGTCTCCATCGGAAATCCATGTGGCAGGGTGACCACACAAGAACGCATCTAGGAGACATGGTTAGAACATTGTCATCCTATTAAAAAATTGCCTGAAAAAGGGCCTTCATGGCAGGGCTACCAGGTATTATTTTAATGAAAGCTGACATTGACATTAACATTGTATAGTATTAATCTTGTACAAAACTCTTAGTGATCTTGTTTATATCTACTTTAACTCGATTTCACTTCATTCATCCATGGTAGCCAACGAACCTATGGATTCCTATGGCAGCAATCCCAGATGTCCCACTCAGATGTGGCCGCTGTACCAATTGAAGTTAAATGACAGGGTGACAGCAGCCGCATCTGTCAGCAGCAGTCCGCATGTAATCCATATGACTAGGTGACTATGAAAGAGCGCAATTGCGAGGCATGGGTAGAACCAGGGGCGTAACTAGAAGCCACAGGGCCCCATAGTAAAATTTTGTATGGGGCCCTGTGATTTCTAGTTAGGCACCATGCAGAGCCCACCTGAGATCCCACACAGCCGACCTGAGAGTGACCCTGCAGAGTCTCAGGTGGGCTGGTCACACCACTGCACACCTCTTACCTGTCAGCCCCGTTCCGCTGTCAGCCTCCTCCACCATCGTGCCCCGCCTCCTCCTCCACTGCCGATGGGTCTGGCCTGTTCCTTCTCCTCCACTGCCACCGGGCCCCGCCTCCTCCTCTGCTGCAACCACCAGGCCCTGGCCTCCTCCATCGCAGCTGCTGGCTGTCACTGACTCTGCAGAGGCTGTAAAGAGGCACGCGCCGCTGCACAGATCACTGACAGGTTGTCAGTGATCTGGACAGCGGCACGTTCCTCCTCACAGCCGCCAGTGACATCCAGCAGCCTGCGATGCCATAGCAACCCAGACGGCCTGCACAGCATCAGGGGGACCTCTTTGTTCCTCGTCCTGGCCGGGCCCCCCTGTGCCCCAGGCCCAATAGCAGCCGCCTGGGTCGCTATGGCGATAGTTCCGCCACTGGGTAGAGCATTGTCACCCTATAAAGAAAAAGTGCCTGAGTAGGATAGATGCGTCCAGCGACAGTCTTCTATTCTAAACCGCATGTAATAGTACCATGCACAATTACATGTGGATTGCCACTGACAAATACAGCCACCCTCACCCTGTCATTTATTTGAATGGGCACAGCAGCCACATCTGAATGGGCACATCTGGGATTCCTGCCGCAAGAATCCGTAGGTTCTTGCGACAGGAATCCCAGAAAGCCCCATGCGAATGTAACCTTACTCTGTTTTTTACTGACTTTTCATAATACCCCGACAATAAAATTCACAAATTCATGCATTAATGCATAACAACATGTGTTAGTGCACATATTTATTGTCCTGATTATAAAGAGACCCTCATTCCAATTTCCCACCAAGGCCCCCCATGGTATCTAGTTAGGCTACTTACGATTCAAACGCAGAAAAAATGACGCCATCATCCATTGACAGTGCCCTCATGTATAGTGAATCAGCTTTCAGATTCTGCATTTGAAAAGTCATAGCGCTTTCATCAATAATTGTTTGTTTCTTGTGTGCAGAAAAAATTGGAAACCTCACACTGGAAGTAGAAGAAATTACACTGTCCACAATCAACCAGAAGAGGAAGCTAGGCGTCATTCTGCAGGAGGTGTCCCGGTGTCTGCAACTGGAGGGCAGCCAGCTGAAGTGGAGTGTGGCTTGTAGGTACCACTTATTCTTATTGCAAGATATGTTCATGTCTGATAGAAGGAGAACTGTTGTTGATGGTTGATTGCTATGAGAAGTTAGAACCTTTTTTTCCTACCAACTTTATTGTGCAGCTTGTTATGTACATACATAAGAGCTGTAATACTGATGTGCCTCCTGTGATTAATCAGTGAATTATGGCTTCTTAAATACCGGTCAGGATCACAAAATATCATCACTCCCTACAGTGCCCAGAAGACCGGCATTATGTATAGGAGATGGCGTGCTGCAAGGTAAGATTTTTGTACTTTGCAGCATCCCTTTGCATATAACACCCAGATTTTTAATGAGAATGTACACATACAGTGTGATGTGTAAATTATTACTTTTTCCCAGGGCAATGTTAATGAAAGTAAAATTAAAGCCAAAACAGTTTTTTAGTTTTGGATAGAGTAAGTAAGGGTTATAACCCCTATGAGCTTTTTTTTTTGCGCCATCTGTGTCCCATTGGGGAGATTTCCCTTTACTTCCTGTCCAATAGCCACCTCAGGAAATGAGTCCTTGGTGGCTAGCAGGGTCACCAGAATTAGTGTGCCCACTGGAACATTTCCCATCTATTCCTGTTCTGATGACAATTTGGCATTTTGTTTCACTTTCATCTTATTTGTCAGCAGGACAGATAGAGAGGGTGAATCTCACTGACAGGGATACAGAAAGCCCTCCCTTTAATAATGCAGCCTAAGGCCCCATTCACACTGCGCGATTCGCAAATCGTGCGTTTGTCGCGCAATTTGCATTTTGCGCGATTTCGCGCAAATGCTTGCATTGAGCAAGCTAGAATCGCGGCAAAATCCGCTCCAAAAAGGGTCCTGCTGTAGCGACACACGACCCGCGACAGCAGGACCCTTTGCCTCATTGCCAAGCATTGGAGAGCGATATCGCGCGGTAAATAGCCGCGATATCGCAGGAATTACGGCGCGATAAATCGCTCAGTGTGAACGGGGCCTTAGGCTGTTGCCTCAGAAGGCATCTCTTTGGGTCCCGTGGGGGGCAGCAGGCAGAGCGCAATGGCCGCTCTTTTCCACCATGTTTGCATGGTGCCTGCCACCCCCTTTCCAGCCATAGTGTCCCAGGTTGATAAGAGCTGGGCGAGGAGATGTGTAAGGGCTCTGCATCTCCCTGCCCAGCTCTTAGCAACCTGGGATGCGCTTGCTGGCATCCCACTGACCTCCTGGCAACTGGTGAGGTCACTGGTTGCCAGGAACTCGGTTGGTCGACAGCCAGAACATCACAGGAGTTAGGCAGGGAGATGTGTAAGCAGGGGTGTCCCGAGGCTGGGTGTCTCCCGGAGTGGAGAAGGGGTGACACCCCCCGTGATGTCGCTGTGCATGCGCTGTCATCTTATCGACGCCTGCCGGCGGCCATCTTGGTGATGGACGCCGGGAAAGAGAGGAGGGAACATTCACCCGGCGGGATGAGGTATGCCGCCAGGTCCCCTACACTCTCCTGACACTGTTGGATTCTTGGACCATGCCTGACTTTTCATAGGGGGTGTCAGTCATTTTGGTGTCACCCCTCCAATGGGCCGCACCCCTCTTGTAGGGGGGCACCCCTGCAAACAGCAATAGAAACCTGATGGGTGTTCTAATTCCTCCCCATTCTATCCAATACTAAAAAAAAGTTTTGGCTTCATCATTTCCACTTTAAGGGAAGAGGACTTGGATGTGTCAGGCACGCCCTATTTTGTTTGGGAGTACCTCATACACCCAACTTTAACTGATTAAGAATTCCTCTAAGCTCTATTAGTAGCTCAGAAAGCTATGTCATATAACCTCAATTCCATTTCACATGAACTCTCACAAAAATCCTAGGATGTCTACTCCATTTCACTTTAAGTCAGCGTGTTTTGGGCACTTTAAAGCATGTTTTCATGTTTTCACTTGGATTTACTGTCCGGGCTGAGGTTAAAAGATTTCCCATTTCTCTGATAACAACTCAAAATGTGCAGCTGGTCCTTCAAAGGAACTCGCACACTATATTGTTATTCAGCAGATGTCCACATAATCTCACGTTAATTACTGGCTCGTTTAATGCAACCAATGCCCTTGCCAGAAATATGGCACATTAAACCCTATCAGAAATAAACAAGGAACAGAAGGTGAAACTGTGTTTTCTTTTTCAAAGAATTATGAGAAATGGTTAAAATATCTAATGTCTTAAAATTTGAATTAAGTGATATACAGGTGACACTCGAATAATTAGAATATCATGCAAAAGTAATTGCAGTAAGTGCTGCAAAAGGGGCCCAAACCAAGTACTGAGTACATATGCATGCTTGTACTTTTCAGAGGTCCAATATTGTTCTATGTACAATCCTTGTTTTATTGATTGCATGTAATAATCTACTTTTTTGAGGTTGTGGATTTGGGGTTCTTGGGGTTTTAATGAGCTGTAAGCCATAATCATCACAATTATGACAAATCACGGCTTGAACTATCTTGCTTTGCATGTAATGAGTATGTCATACATTAGTTTCACCTTTTAAGTTGCATTAGTGAAATAAATGAACTTTGCACGATATTCTAATTATTCGAGTTTCACCTGTATGTAGTTAATATTATTTACAACGCAGAGGGTTTTGCTGCCTTGCCTATATCGTTATATATAGCAAATAAGTGCTTGTACTTACACTGTAGTTGAATAGAGGGGTCCAAAAAAATGGTTCTGTTGACTTGGTCCACCGCAGAGCTCATTGCACCCTGAAAAACCACCTTAAACAGACCCTGTTGCCAAACTTTTCTTTTCAACAAAAATCATCCCATAAGATTGTCTGTGCATTTAATGTATTGTATCCATGCAGGGCAGCCATCAGAAATTTTGGGGCCCCTTACACGGCTTTAGACCCGACTCCCCCCACGCTCTGGAGCGGCAATGCTGGGGCCCTGCGCTGCTAGGGCCAGGGCCCCGCCTCCTCGCCCTTCACCGTCGGCCGATAGTCATGTAAGGGACCCGGTGGGCCCCCCAGGCTGCCCGGGCCCCTTACATGAGTATCGGCCGTACCCCCCCTGATGGCTGCCCTGTATCCATGTTATTTAACTGTAAAAGCCTTTGTTGTGTGGGCATCCAAAATCTCTGAGACCTCTGCTGGGTGCTACCATCTTGGATGTGATGTCAGAGGCCCCAGCAGACTCGGGGCTGTCAGTCAAGTGACACTCTATAGCAGGGGTAGTAAATTAAAATTCAAGGAAGTCAGGTGAATAAAATATTAATCGAGCCAAGGTCCAAATCACTGTCCAGAGAAAATGATCACTCGGTCCACCATTTAGGCTACATTCACACCTGCAGCAGTACTGTAACGTAGAGCTGCTGGTGTGTGTTCCCAGTCACAGTGCTAATTCATGGCTTACACGCACATGTTCAAAAGAATTAGATGGCAGGGCGGTTTTAAATTTTTTTTATTTTAATTTTATAATTTTTTAGCTTTTTATCACTTTTTATTTTTTTTTATTATCATTTTAATTTTTATAATTTGTATTTTTATTACTTTTTCATCACCTTTTAAATTTTTATATTATTATTTTTTTACTTTATCACGTTTTAAAATTTTCTGTTTTATTATTTTTTTATCACCTTTTTTTAACTTTTTTTCCACTTAGCTTTTGCTAACAAACCCCTATGTGACAGCATTTGGAAGTGACAGGTTCTCTTCATGGAGACATTAGGGATCTGTATACCTGGCACTTCAGTCGGCTTCTCACAGTTGAAGCATGACGAGCTAAGAGCTTGTCATGCTTCAGTGATCACAGAGCAGAGTGGGGAATGGCTGTTCCTTGTTCTGCTCTCGCTCTCCATTCTGACACTGTGTGCCGTGGTTCTGGACCTCCCAGAATAGCGGGGGACCCGAAAAAAACGTCCAGATCACTTGTAATTGTGGCAGCAGGCCCTGCCTGCCTGACTGATGTCATTGGTTGCAAGGTCGCCAGTGGTCCTAGCAGCCAATGACTGGAGGCGGGATTGCGCTAGCTTATGGCTTACAGTGGAAACACTGGCCTAGAAGACTGGTGTATCCACTGTCAGCCAGCCATAACCCAGTGCAGGTATGTGATCGCGGACTGCACAGAACCGCCACATGGTCTGTGTCCTAACTGTTTAATGACCACTACTCTATAGTATGTCCCTTCTCTCCTACACAGTATCAAAGGTGAGGGGAGGAGTGGAGGAGCTAGGCCAGCACAGAGAGTAATAAGACACTCCCAGAAGAGGAGAGGGACAAGACATTCAAGAAGGGAGAGGGTTGTGCTAGGCAATAAACTCTTCCTTGAATAGTCACATTTTTGAGCAAGTTGAAAAATACATTGCAAGCGAATAAAAACATTTATGGGAAGTAAAATCACTGCATGTAAGCATTTCATATTTAATTTTCCTGTGGTTTTACCTGCAATTCTTTGTTGGTGACAGGGTCTCTATAAGGGCAAATACACCAGATGCATTGGGGCTGTGCTGGCTGTTATTTCCAGCGCAGCCCCAACGCAAGACAAGGCAATTTGCCTTGTCACAGGCGATGGGAATGCGCTGCTGTGTGCTGAAAAAAAGTGAAACAAAACCCGACATGCTGTACTTTTTTCAGCGCAGCGTAATTCAACCGCCTCGCAACCTGCTGTGACCGAAGAGCTGTTGTGGAACCACAAATCCCATGAGGCATTGCAAAATTCCCACAGCCACAGACGACTCCCAGAGACAGATGCATCATGGGATTTGTAGTTCCACAACAGCTGGAGGGCCAGAGTTTGCCCTCCCCTGCCATATGGCAGCACAAGTCTGTAGGCAAGGTGCATTTGAGTGCCATTTAGAATGAAAGGCACCGCATTGCACAAACACTTGTAGCTTGCATTGCTTTAAGATGCAGTTACACACGTTCCCGCAATGCAAGAGTGTGAATGGGCCCCATAAAAATAATGACTATAAAATTGTGTTGGAGTGCGATGAACGCAGTTTGGGGAAAGCCCCTCATAAA